ACAATGATCCCCCATGTAGCTTTAATAGGCTATAGGAGCAAGTGATGTCAGTGAGCAGCGCCTATGAAGGCCGGCACGGCACACGTAGGGGTGATTGGCCAGCGCCACGCCCGGCTGCCTTTGTCTCCCCAGTGGCGATGTTTACACACCACACCCCGGCACTGATGTTAGCCGTGAGCAAGAATCGAACTCGGGTCGCCACTTTTGTAGCGCAGTGCGCTCACCGCTACACTACCGCTCCCCACACACCAATACCAATATCCGCTATTCGCCATAAAGTGACGGCGACGTCACCACGGCGCCTGTGCCAGGCTCGGTGCACTTTGAGGCTCTAAATGTGGGGTTGTCTGTCTTGCTTTCTTCTGAAACAGTGGGATGCTTTCCAAGCAATAAAAGCTCACAAAAATATATATTTGAGACAAAAAAAAATCTGAAATGCTGGATTTGATTAGCACATCGAGACCAGGCTGTAGTTTGACTGCTTACAAATGCCGCTTGGTGATTGACGTTCGCCTGGAAAAAATCAATGGTCGATGAACTAAACTATTTTTCTATTTATATGTGGATATAGAAGGGAGGTCTGCTTATTTGTCCTTTCGCCCATGATGACCCACATATATGCATAACAAGTTAGTGTATGGGTTAAGTTTTAGTGCATTGAGAGCCTTATATAATTTGGAAATTATATCTCATTGTCCGACTCTTCGAGACACTCCTTCTTCATACGCTATCCTCACTGCCTATGTAATATGCAATATTCAACAACTCAAAGGGCATACGCTCACAATCTTCATAAATCATCTTTTAAAACCTGGCCTCGCCCCTGGAAGAAATGCATGTGATTGTGTGTGTGTGTGCGTGCGGTCTCGTAATCTGGTGTTATCCATTCGCCCGTACGTCATTTTGACTTTTATAGATTCTGAAACGGACAAGTGCCTTGAAGGCATTCGCTTGGAATGCAGTCCATAGTGTTTAGGGACCGCACCTTTGCTCTTGCCGGCTTGAACCAGTCTGGCACTACTTTTTCAAGCTGTTATCATTCAATATCCCACCCAAAAACTCACGTTTTTTAAGTTATAAATGATACTACATATATTTCTCACTTCAATTTCCTATAGACTCGTGATTAATTTGATTGCTATTTGTTCAGATAGGGCATGTAAAGGCACTCTATAGATAATCATTATGTTTTATTATTATTGGGAGCTCTGAGATGATGGATTTGTGCAAACTCTAGAGGATATAGTTGTAGTAGATCAGTCCAAATGTGATGACAACATGGGGGAGGGTCTTAAGTGAAAGATCCTGCAAGAAATATTGGATGTGGGAGATTTTACTCAGGTGGAGATATAGGGCTCGGCGATAATTCAGATATGGGAACAGTTTGTTCAGGTTTAATTATAATGTGAATATTTTGCACACTGTCTAGCAGTGCAATGTAAGACGTGAGCATTTCCCACGCTTAATATACATTCTTGGCTGGATGTGGTCTTTTTAGAGAAGTCAATTAGATTATTTTTACTTTAACTTTAAAAAGGTCAGTACCAATCCGGTTGGTGCACCATTGGGGTCTGTCCTCAGGTCCTTCCTATTTTCAACAGAAGTCTTTCCGCTCGTCGATGTCACCAAGTTCCATCAATATTCTTAATTCCCACTGCTGCTTAATCCAGAACATTCGCCGGTTCCGCTGGTGTGCATTCAGGCTGAGGTTAAACATTTTTTGGGAGGATCAGGTGTGGTGGTTGCAGACGTCAGGATTCAGTTGTCTACTAATCTAAAGAGCCTCGGCACCATTCTCGATACAGAATATGCCATATGATCTCCAAATACGAAATATAATCAAGTCCTGCAAGTTTAATTCCATGGCTCTACAACACATTCGACAACCATTGAGTCATGACATAGCCAACACGGTGGCGTGTAGTATCGTATCGATGAGGTTAGATAATTGCAACTCTACTCTACGAGACGTCTGGCAAAAACATTATAAAGCTGCAGCCTGTACAACATTTGTTGGCACGTGTCGTGACGGGTACTGCAAGATCACACCACGTACACCAAGTGCTCACCAATCTCCATTCGCTTTCGGTTGCTAAACGAATACATTATAAGTTTGCAGCCATTACACACAAAATGATTGCCACAAATGAACAACAATACCTTTCTAATCTCGTCAAGGATCATAAATCATCACGTGACATCTGCTCATCCTCGCAGAGTATTTTGACTGGTCATCGAATTAAGATGGTCACCGCATCGCATGCGATCAGGTGCACGTCTTTGTCAATCTGGAACGCTCTTCCTTTCGACATTAGGAAACTACTGGAGCTATGCAATTTTAAATCAAGATGGGAAAACTAATTTCTTAAGAACTGCTTTGTGTTTAGTTTGTTGTCTTTCCCCCGAACCTATGATGAGTGTGGTTGGCTACATACGGTGCGAAATAAATGCAACGATTTACAACTATAGCTACAACAGCCATTTGATAATCTACAACTCCTGCTAATGCCTTAAAGTTGATTCTGAAATTCTCACGACGTTTCGGCCACAACGCAAGCAGCCGTTTTATTTTAATTTTTTTATTTTAATTATTTTATTATTTCCTTTCTACGTGACTTTACCGAAAGAACCAAGAAGATGAATCCCTGCAGTCACGAAAGCTTTAAATCGAAATTTAATTCTCAAAGATCAAATGTCGGTGCCCTGGCGACACACATGCTGGTGAGGTGAACTGCGGTGGTGGACTTGCGCACAAACATACACAAACATACTTTGACAAACTTATAGGGTGCAGCAAGTTGCTCAAGTTTACAGAAAGTTAAAACGATGATGAGTTAAAGTAACCCAGTGTGAGTAAAGTTTTCAGTCATTCACGATATGCTGTCATACAGCCGAATACGCACATCAGGGAAACTGCAATAAGTGTTTGTCTCGAGTCAAACATTATAAATCCCAATGAATATACGTGTAAAGATTAACGCTTTTTAACTTTCAAAGTAAGTAGTTTGATGCTTACACACATCTCAAAAGAGTTTTACGAGAAAATGTAAAGATGAAAATTAAATAAAATGTACAAATGCAGGTGATCACATATGCGAACAAAACACTTTAAAATGAGCAACATCTGCCTACTTATGTACAAGAGTGCATGATAAAATGCACCTGTCAGGCAAAAGACTACATTCTGAGACATTTGATGGAAGGCACTGGCATATTTAAGATTCTATGAAAGTCACAATGCAAGCAAAAATGTTTTAAAAACTTGATTTTTCAAGGCAAGACTGGAGGGGTGGAATCTTTTTTACGCAATCTTAACCAAACAGCTTTAAAAAATAATAATGGCATTGTAGATTATAAGCATGGCAAATGTCAAGAACATTTTAACATGATTCGGGACAAACCACGAATTCTGAGACAGCACACGCCCATCCATACACACATTCGCTACCACTTTAGCAAATAACATAATGGAAAACTGGTATGCATGCATGGTGGCATCCGTTTGTATAAACTAAAAAAAACCATTTTATTAAAGTAGGACTGATATTTTTTTAAATATTATAAACCAAGCGTTCAGGAATATATGAAAATAAATACCATCAATTGTCTACATATGCAGATACTGATTGACAGGCTATGGTACAGACTTGTTTTATTTATGTTGAAAATATTTTGCACCGTATGGAGCCAACCATTAACATCAGGGGTGGAAGCAGGGATGCTGCTGTTAAGGGGATAATTTTTTTTTAATCAGTCATGAAGGAATACGGGCAGTCCTCGGGTTACGAACATCATTCATTCCTGTGACCCGCCCATAACTCGAACGGTTCGTGAGTCAGAACACATTAATCAACTGTATTTAAATTTGGTCAGTGTTAAGAAATGTGCTAAGGTTCAACAGAAAGGGAATCACTGTCAAACTCACAATTAAGAATATGGTACTTTTTCATTTAACACTATAAAAAAGCTGTCTAATATATCAAATTAAACATGAAATAAAGTAACATAAAAAAATCTTCTTGGTTCTTTCGGTAAAGTCACGTAAAATAATATTTTATTATGTTTTATTTTTATTTTTATTATTTTATTACTTCCCTTCTACGTGACTTTACCGAAAGAACCAAGAAGATGAATCCCTGCAGTCACGAAAGCTTTAAATCGAAATTTTACATAAAACACTTTTATTTCCATATTACCTTGAGTCCTGATACTATTCAAAAGGGGGGGGGGGCAATGAGTTACCACAATTGCAGACACCCACACACACACAGACAGAGATACCCAAACACACACACTCACACAGAGACACACACAGACACACACACATCACGACGACAATGATTCCCCGTGTAGCCTTAAAAGGCAATAATGCTGTTAGTGAGCAGCGCCTATGAAGGCCGGCACGCACACGAGGGAGTGGGTGGCCAACACCACACCCGGCCCCTTTTGTCTCCCCAGTGGCGATGTTTACACACCACACCCAGGCACTGATGTTAGTCGTGAGCAAGAATCGAACTCGGTTCGCCACTTTTGTAGCGCAGTGCGCTCACCGCTACACTACCGCTCCCCACACACCAAAACCAATATCCGCCATTCGCCACAAAGTGACGGCGACGTCACCACGGCGCCTGTGCCAGGTTCGGTGCACTTTGAGGCTCTAAATGTGGGGTTGGCTGTCTTGCTTTCTTCTGAAACAGTGGGATGCTTTCCAAGCAAGAAAAGCTTACGAAAATTTGTCTTTGAGACAAAAAAAATCTGAAATGCTGGATATGATCAGCACATCGAGACCAGTCTGTAGTTTGACTGCTTACAAATGTCGCTTGGTGATTGATGTTCGCCTGGAAAAATAAACGGTCAATGGACTAAACAATTTTTCTATTTATATGTGGATATATAATGGAGTTCTGCTTATTTGTCCTTTCGCCCATGATGCTCCACAAATATGCATAACAAGTTAGTGTATGATTTAAGTTTTAGTGCATTGAGAGCCTTATATAATTTGAAAATTATATCTCATTGCCCGACTCCTCAAAACACTCATTCTTCATACTCTATCCTCACTGCCGCGGTAATATGCAATATTTAACAACTCGAAGGGCATACGCTCACAATCTTTATTTCACGTCCACACACGCGTTCTGTCTCTCACACACAGGCACACACGCGCATTCGTTATTATCAAGCACTGGGTGGAGTCTGGGAAGCTCCACCTTTTTGTGAATCTGAATATAAAGCCGGGGTGAATCCAGAGAGCAGAAGAGACGGAGCGAATGACTTGCGCTCTACGGCTTTCTATCACCTGAACATAGTGAGTATTATCAGAGATGCAAGTCGGCTGCACATTGGCCAGTAATAGGCTAAAAATACAGGTAAATTATGTACGGTATATATGTTAGAACGTACATTGTATAGACTATGTGTGGTTAATATAGGCTGGCTATGTTAAATCAGATATGTTAACAGGCTACGTTTAAAAAATAATACCATATTAAACTGCATGTTAATGTCTAATGGGTTAGCGATGTTAAATAGGTTGAACAAATGGCCCTGTAATATCGGACTGCATGCAAACACACCAAAGTAATGAAATATTATAAGTTATTACAGACTAGACAACAACAAAATGACGTTTTAAAAATATGTCGAACATTAATCTTGACTGAACACTTGCACATACGCGAACCTTGATGTTGGTTTGTAATACTAGCCATAGCCGATAAACAACATTATCCTTTTTGCACTGTTTGCGATTCCCTTTATAGTATTTATTTATCAAACGCATTCTCTATTGATATGCCAATCACAGTGCATACTACCTGCTTTGACAGTGTTCGGACATGTGGTCATTAACGAAAAATATAGAACAAAAACTCAGGGTATAAGAATAGGTTTTGCCCTTTCTGGCAATGAAAGAGGTGTTAGGATGTTAAAACACCAAACTGCAACCTTTGCAAGGATTCATGTCTGCATTAACCACGTATACTTGTGGCGAACAAATCGTGCTTAAGTTTAAACACAGGACACAATCTAAACACCAAAGTATGCAAGTGAGGGGTGTATGTGTACGTAAATAAATGCACATACAAGTGACGTGGTGTAGACTAAGGTTGCCGCTAGTCAGTACAGGTTTCTCTCACTTTATGCGGGTTCGGTTTGTGTAATATCATGTATTTTGGACGAATGTATTTCTACCCAAAATTCGCTATATGCAATTTAAATTCACTCATATACGGCTTCGTGATCGGACGTGGAACACCATTGTGTATGTATTCTATGAACTGTTTGGCAGGTTAGCTGTCCTGTGTGGTTTCGGTTTGTGTGCCTTTTTTCTTGGAACACATCTACAACCACAAAGCGAGGGAAACCTGTATGTGTTGCACTTCAGGCTGCGCCCTTTCCAATGAATGTGCAGTATTTAACAGAACATTTCATCGCACGACAGTAGCATGAAAAGGGCTGTATAAGACGACCTCACCACTAGGGTGCTCTTATTAACAATTTTCTTCAACCACGTAACTTATTGCAACAATACAGGCGCAGTCCTTGGCTCTGCAAGCGGCCCAAAAACAAACGAAAACACGTAATAGAATCCTTCTCGTGACACTTAGTGTGCCTCAGCAGGAACTGAACTCTGTTGCCAGTCACGAGAGAAAGTCTCGGAGTCTGCCAGTGCAGAACTGACTAATATGATTGTGTGCTGTTTGTATGTAATTTCTAGCTCGTGTGATTAATTACCTAGTATACATTACGGCCCGATATTCTCCTCCCACCTTTGCACACGTGGTGCATCCATCGGGTCAGCCTGAGATCATCCCTGGTTCTGGCTCCGCAGACATCCTGGCACTTGATGTCATAACCCCTATCAAACTACTCCCTTTGGAGGTCATCCCACGATATGTGTGAGCACAGACACACTTAATTGCCCCTAGGTGTTGTGTGTGTCTGTAGCCATGTTTATTGTGAAACGGCTTTCCTCCCTCGTTAGGTCGACTCATCCTTAAAATTAATTCCTGCTGCAGCATGCAATGACAGTCACTGGGAAGACAAAGGCGGTTGGCAGACTCTGGTTATACCCCTGGAATGCATGCAATTCTTGTCGTGGAGAATATACGTTATTCATATTACGTATATTTTCTGCATGATCCTTTGGTTCAAGACTTCAATACAAAACTTCCATCCTGCTGCAGCATGCAATGACAGTCACTGGGAAGACAAAGACGGTTGGCAGGCTCTGGTTTATACCCCTGGAATGCATGCAATTCTTGTCGTGGAGAATATACGTTATTCGTATTACGTATATTTTCTGAATGATCCTTTGGTTCAAGACTTCAATACAAAACTTCCATACGTCATTATCAAGTTGATATGCTTAACCCAGATCTCATGGAACTTATGTATTGATAAGTGGATGTTAATAGAACATGTAACTAGTTGTATTCACAACCCCCTGACTATATGCTGTATTGTCACTTAAAAATATCTAGTATCACCAAAGGTAATTTTTAATATCATGATGTTTAAGAATGTTCATATGCATGGTTGGCATTTGAACGTTTCAACTTTCCAGGCACCAGGGTTTGTTAACTCAGAGAGTGAATCGGCAAGGTGCATACTTGTCTCTTTTGCCTGTATTTGCCCTTGGGTGAGCAGCGAGTTTATGGTGTTTTGCCATGGGTCCACCCTTGTGTATATTCTCTCTCAGAAATTTCCCTGGGTCAATCCTTGCCAATGCAAGAGTTATTCCTCTATGGCCTGTCATGAACGTCTTCCTCCTTTACAACACGAGTTCAGTGAATTCCCGGGAAGCAAAATGTACACCTTCTTCCAGGCCCTCCTCAGCTCTGGTTATTCTCATCATACCAATTTGATAGATGTCTCATTCATTCTGTTTACCCACTTCTCATTCTAATACTCTTGTGGCTTAGCCATCTGGTTTTCCCGACTTCTGGCATGCAGTGAATGCATATTTGTTTGTCAGGAACTGCGACATTCAAAATAGACAAGACATTACAAAAAATTATAATAGTCATACAGTCGATCTAGGGCTGAACGATTTGGGAAAAATATCTAATTGCGATTTTTCTGACATGTTGCGATTGCCATTTGATTTGCGATTAAATTGTTTAAGTCAAGCTTCAGTTCAATATTCACTCTGTTAATAAATGTGAAACATGTGATGGAGCAATACCACATGATACCATAAAAATATGAACTGCCCTATATAGTCAAATGCAAGGATGAGAAGTTAAAAGATATGAATTCCTTCAAACATGTATTTTTTTAAATTTTTAATTCAATTAGAACAAGCAAACATAGAACAATTGCTAAGTTAAATAAATAAAGTTATAATAATAAAAAATAAAACAATTTCAATAAGAAAGTAATAGGACTGTTCAAATCACCAAAAATCGCAGCCATCGCGATTTGCTAATCGCATTGTTTCAAATTACGATTTCGATTTGAAATCGATTTATCGTTCAGCCCTTAGTCGACCCTTTCACATCACAGGGGTTAGGGGCTCAGCCCCCCCCCCCCCCCCGTCATCTGGAAAAAACGCGTTAAATGTTTTGGTCCCCTTGGCGAGCGAAGCGAGCACCTCCAGCCAGGGGGTACAGGGGAGGGGCTATGAGATATCACGCGAGAGGCTGCCGTAAACAAGCTTGGCATCCTCCAAACCAACGCGCAAACTAACTTTTCACAGAATTTTACTTTTAAAAAAATTGTGTATATTTATGGTAATAAACAATAAATACATTGATATTATGCATATATGTGATGCATTTTTGCGTTACTAAACTCTTTGTGTGTCATTTGCCGGCCTTCGCATGTCGTCTGCGGTTTTCGCAAAACTCCCCAAAAGAATTCCCATTTTATTTCTTATGCCGACCCCGCGATATATCGAAACCGCGATGGGTAAAGTCGCGATGCAGAAGGATCGACTGTATATACAATAAGGAGCCAGGGTGAGCTGGCTTTGTTGCTCATATAAACACGCAGAGACCTATTGATCAGCACCGTCCATATCACGAGGATTGTTTTCAGGCAAGGAATGGTCCTTCTGAGCGTCCACATCAAGTCCTTAATCCAGACTGTGTTAAAGGCCGATGAGAAGTCCACACATTCTGCTTGTTCTCCAGGGATCACTGACTCGACGAGGGGGCTGATCCTCTGGAGGATGATGCTTTCCAGGAGTTTGTAGGTCGTTCACATGAGTAATATTAGCCCATAGCTTCCCAGGTCACCGGTTGGCTTGTCGGGTTTGAGTATTGCAATGACCAACACCTCCCACCATGCTTTTGGGATTCATCCGGTTTTCATGGTTTTGTTCAGATTAACTTATATTTAGATGCTGTATCAATGTGTATGTTGTTGCAATAACTTTTAAATGAAAGTCTATGTGAGTCAGTAAACTCATGCATAGTTCACAGTTATCTGAAACAGTGGTGGCTTTGTAGTGTACTTTGAAAATAATTAATCACGTGTTTGCTTTGTTTATATTTTAAAGCTGGACACAATGCAACTCCACCGCACCCTCGCACTTGTCTGTCTATAAGAGGGTCAGGAAGAGAGTTCCAGCCTCCTTTGTGCTCTGAGCAAGCAAGAGGTGAGTCCATGAGATGGTCAACTCTGGCACTTGCATTGTGAAGATTAAGGTTGCTGTTGGCATCACGACTGGAATGTCTCTGTCATGTAAATGGCATGTTTAATTATGCATTTGTAGTAATCAATAAATTGAAATCATATTCTTTGGGTCTTTCTGTAAAGTCACGTAGAATGGTCCAAAGACAATTACAAAGAATAACAAAAAACTACGACGTTTCGATCGCAACACAAGCGGTTGTCACCAGGAAAAGGGGGTTAGCTTCTAATGACAACTGTTTATAAAGGTTTGAAATGGGCATAGCCGAAATGACAGCAGCCAATGTTAATGTAAGTGGTGGGCAGCGACTGTGGCGTTTGTAGGTTTTCCACCAATCATTGGTGCTGTCCATTATATATTCATGATTTGATATTTACAGTATTTTCGTTGTAAAGCATTTTATGCATATAATAATTGTTATTTACAGCTTCAAAGTTGATTACGCATTCGAAAAAAACACTTAATACAGAATTAGGGAGACTGCAGTCAATATATATAATTATTCATATGATACTGTAGTTATGATGAACTTCAAAGCAGACGTACACATTTTTTCATTCAAAGAAGAGTATACCATTCTGTGCCAGCACGCGGATAGCAAATTACAGAAACAATGGTGACACTTTTGGTGCTGCCATTAACCAACCTAAACATCACCTCACCACCTGCCTGAGGCAGGGACTAAAGGCCCGTGCTCTCAAGTCCAATATCACAAGTGGTGGCACATGAATAATAACCGTCATGTGATGGTAATCAATGTATACAAGCCCCCGAAAAAGCAATGGCCATCACCACTTCAGCAGCCACTACAATGAATAATGTACTGTACATTACATTATCACATAGGGATAATGTAATGTGATGTCCAACACATTATCCCTATGCGATCAATTGACCCCAGTGTGATTGTAGCTTTGAGAAGTGCCTAAGACCACCCTACTCTCGCGCAGGGGCACACAGTGTGTGCGTGTGTGGCCTTAGCTCACTCTGGCACAAAGAGCGTTGGCTTTCAGATCAAGATGTCATCACGGTCAAAGCTCTTGATACCACCACACCTTAGTACCACCACTTTTAACCTCTACCAGATCCTGTAATTGCACAGTAGACACACGATCTCTAAGACCAGACCTCATAGTATTCCCCCACCTGTCAACTCCAAGCGCCGCACCACTTTTTTCTATACATGACGTTGGCCCGATCCCAGTACACCCCTTACTACTACCTCTAGGGGCCGGTGTAACATTGGATAAAGACCGACTTTTATCAACATTTGCATTGGTTAATGACATTTAGTCAAAAACGTTTACAATTAAAAAGTAGTTTTTTGAGGAAAATAGTTTTGGGCCAAGTGGCATGAGAACCACGTGTGGAGCTTGAGCACAGGAGCTGGGCAGGATTGATTCATTATCTATGGTGCCATGGTTTAAGTGATGCTTGTTATAGCATGGTAAGTTAAAACACTTCCCATTAGTCTCTTTAAAAAATTGGGCCCGTTAAAGGAATTAATTCCGTACTGTTATATTCCAAATTACAACAAGCAACGGCTTAATCAATTGTTTAAATTTAATTTGTATTATTAAAAACGTAGATAAGCATGGTAGGTATAAGTAAATACTTTATTTAATATTCAATTTCTTTATTTAATATTTCTCACAGATGTTTGACATTTAAATAGGTGATGAACTTTGGTTATTCGTCTGAATATTTGTTATGCTATGATTAAAAACAACATGCAATATTCAACTGAATTATACATTGATTTGTATTATTGTTAAATGTTGTATTACTAATTAAGGACGATGTCTATGTGTGTATTCAAGGCTATGTCTGAAGAGGAGGAACACGACGTAAAAGCTGAGGATGAGCTTGCCAAAGTACTTAGAGACTTAGGTATTAATACAACTTATTGGATTCCAAAACTACGAGATATTTTGGATATCACCAATGTACAAGCATTGCAATATTTTGGCCCTGAGGAATTTGAAATCATAGAACCACATTGCCGGCATTCATGGGAGAAAAAGGCATTGTGTAAGTTAGTGGGAATGTCGGGCAATGAAGTTGTTTTAAAACAATCACAACAATGTGAGCCAATTGGAAATAAACAGAAGCAAGATGCACCAACAAAGCAGCATCCAGAACAAATCCATCAGAAAAGATTAATTCACAGTGGTGAGGCCAACATAGAGACTGAGACAGAGCAGCAAATGAAATTGAAAGGAGCAAAAGAAACCCCATTGTGTGATGGCAGCCATTCCAATGATATGGCAAACACTTCTCTAAAGCAGTTAAATTTAGCAGACATTTCAACTTTACGTGGGACTATTTCACGTATTTTACAAAATGCATCTAAAGGACTTGCTTTGGAGGGGGTGTATCGAACTGGTCAAATAAAGGATAGGCTAAAGAAAAGAGGCAAACTCTTAAACATCCCAATGTCGTTTGATCTTGCTGGGCCAGTACATCAGCCGATGATAAAGCTACAAGAGTTTTCATCATCTGAAGAGGAAAACATATTTGAGACAGCAGTGGAAATAATGGGATTCAATACCATAACCACAGAAGAAGGTTTCCTACAGGCCTTGAAGAAAGAAATCAACTCACGGCATAGCAAGGTATTACACAATGTAAAAAAGCAACAAGAAAAGCCCACGGATACCTGCATTCATAGCGCCAAATACCTGTACCTACCACTTGCCTCAGGAAGTCTTGACTTTAATCAACTCAAGCTCTCTGATGAGGCGTTGGAGGAATTACAAAGCGTTGAAAACACTTTAAAAACCGCCAAGGATTCTTTTAAAACGCATGTGCTAAGAAACAGGTTAAGAAGTTTTGTTGAGAACTTTGGCTCTCATGCCCATACGGGCCCTGTCCACTTTGGTGGGATATTTAAGTGGAAAGCATCAGCAGAGGGAATCAGCTCAGATGAGGAAAAGGAATACGGAAATATGCTTTCGGAGGCAGTGGAAATGTATTCCACTTCTGCCTACAACAGCAGTGGTAGTGCAGGTGGTGTGAGCATGATGGCATCCGAATTTACAACGGAATTTTCTGAAAAATACAATGCTACACTTCTTAGTAAGGTGACATTTTCTGTAAGTACAATAGGTGGATCACCTGGCCTTTGTTCTCTTCAACAATGGAAAACCGACATTGTATCCAACACCAAGACGTGGTCTGTCATTGATCTAGGCACATCATTGGTTCCAGTATGGGACATTGTCAAGTTTAACCACAAGGATGATTTTCAAAATACCTTGATAGTTAGCACGCTCAAGGAGGCATACACACTTTTGACAAACCAAAATCCAGATTTTTGTCTTAAAGATATATTGGTCTCTGCTAACGCTAAAGCCAGGTCAGTGATGCAAGATATTAAACATTGGCAAGAATCCGACATGGAAAATAATTTAAAAAAGATACTTGATTTGAAACAAACGTTATATGATGAAACAAAAAGCAATTTAACTTGGATAAACACCTGTTTATCTCACCCAGCCCTCCAATCATTGTTGTCAAATCTTGTTACAGCACCTGCCAAAACGGTGAAAATCACAAAGCTTATGCGGTCTATTATGGAGCCAAACAGCTTTGACGGTGACAGTTTTCCACAATTCGCCTCCATTATGCAGTGGCTGAATGAGTCTGAAGGAGTCCCTACTCAATTATCTGATTTTAAAGATCTCGTGAACATCTTATCAAAAGCAGAAGAACATTTGAAAGTTGACTTTTCACCAACTTATTCAGAAATACACGAAAAAAGAAACAAAGAAATCACACATGCATTTAATTCATTCTGCCAATCACTAAAAAGAACAAAACTCATCGAACAAGAGCTACTTATCAATTCAGTTGCTTCTGCTGTTGGCTACTGTGTAAAAGAAAAACGATTTCAGCATCCCCTGGATTACGACAGAATTGATCATCTTCAACGTGAACTAGAGTCAGCTTACGGAGAGTACTCAAGACTGATGCAACAAGACGAATCTAGAGCTCAGGCATACGTGTTACGGACAGGTTTGTCTAATGCAAGGACTCTTGCCGAAAAGCGAAAACAGTTCGATTTCATGAGATCCCAGGTCGAAGAAACAATGTGTGCTGAAGTTTCCCATGTGATTAAATGCAGTGAAATAGGGCCAACTGACTGGAATAAACTTGATATGATGCTGGAATCCATTATCGCTGGAACTTTCAAAGAACAAACATGTAGTTCAAAGAAAGAATGTACGATACAAAATGCAGAAATAATTTCCCAGGGGGGATGGAAAGAGGACACATATTCAAGGCAAGAAGAATTACAAAATAAGGCATCTATTCAACCACTAAGAAATGATGATGATGATGAAAAGTTCATGAATCTGCTTGAAAGACTCTCGCTGATAAAATACTACCCCAAGGAATTACACACAAGTAATGTATGTGTTATTAACGGGTCTCCAATTCAAACTAACCCTGATCGATGCACAGAACAAGAACTTGCTCTTTCTTATCTGCAAAAACTGACGATGATTGACTATCGAGCAAGATGTGTTAGTTTTCAGTGTGAAAATCAAAACCAAGGCAAATTAAACAACTTATCTCAGTCCATGAATACAAATAAAAGCCCTAATAGTGATAGCTTCTTTTCTAATGATGATGATGATGACGTAATAAATAACAGTGATGGGCCTAGGACAAACACTGAAACCAACATTCACCCTATGGACTTACAAATGGCAATTTTCCATTGTGGAGATAATTTTGTAAGGCAGTACATTTACACCAAACTGTCATTCATCCAGTTTGCACTTCCGCTTTTAGTTCCAAATCCTTGTCGTTCAGAAATAGAATTCCCTATGTGGTCATTCAGACAGATTAAAAAGAGCTGGAAATACCGTGATGCATCTACCAACGAATGGCAATCTAAAAACTGTGCAATCAATGATGCCAACACTGCACTCGTGTCCTTCGTAAGATTTGGTGAATCACCTGCATCGAAATCTCAGATAATGAACTCTCTGCTCGGCAATCAAACGCATCGAGTTTTCTTTCATAGGCACTGCCGAGGCAGCAGCAGGAATGGTCAACTAATGAAAGGAGTTGCAGAGATCGCCTGGTATCTTCCAGGTGGGAAGGACAATGATGTATTTAATGACTGCATAGCATTCACTAATCTCCACGGAGATGCAAGAGAACACAAAACACAGGCGAAATTTTTACATGATATTTCGTCTATAAATGTTATATTACTGTCAGATGGTGATCGCAATGAAGAGGGCAAACGTATCTTAGACGAATGTTTGAGTTCCCCAAAGCCGCTAATTTGCCTCTGTGCTGACAAAAAGAGAGTTTCCAGTGGAATATCTGGAACAAACGCGAAAATTGCTGTCGAGAATCGAAATGAGGCTGAGTTAATCGATGAATTGACGTCAATAATCAAATCGTTTTTAGAAAATTCAAAAAGAAAAATGAACATCGAAGCTTGCTCAGCTATTGCAAGACGGTATGGATTCATTGTTGATGAAGATGATAAACAATGTGAAGAGGGAAAGGAAGCAGCGAAAGTTTTGCTGAGTCTTATACATGACAAGCCGCTGTGTTCCATAAAGGAGACATTTCTGCCTCTTCAAGGGAAATTGTGGCAGTCGTGGTGCAAGAAAGACAAAGAATTGACTCGCATGACGGTAAGGGGGGGGCAAAGTGTTGAGGAATACAAAAGTAATATTTTAGGAGAAAAAACACGCATTAGGAAAGCACAGCTTGAAAAAGCATTTCCTCTTAACGATTTTATGAGATCATTGATTGAAATTTTGAACCATAAGTCACGCACAGTAAAAACATACTTCCTGCATTGGCTACGCATATACTTAGATAATTTGTCTGCAAATCGCTTATCACAACTGCATCTCACTTATCATCAGGCCTGGACGGCAATAATAGCGTTGAAAAAACAAGGTTCTAACATTGCAAAAAAACAATTAGAGTTGGATAAAATATCAGAAGAACTTGAAGCCTCTTCCTTTGGAATTGATCACGTTTTTAGGGAAGTTGGTCAGATCTACGAAGCTTCACGGACAACGCCATCAGTTGACAAACTCCCGGCTACTTTGCCCAAGATTGCAGCAGAAATGATGATCTCTGGATTTCCTCTTGAACTCATGGATGGCGATGCTGCACATGTGCCTCTCATTTGGATTAGCTCAATCTTGGACAGAATCATTGATGAAATTGGGGACGTGAAGCTGTTTGTTATCTCAATACTGGGAATACAGAGCAGTGGGAAGTCCACGCTACTGAACGCCATGTTTGGCCTCCAGTTTCCTGTTGGCAGTGGGAGATGCACCCGAGGGGCCTACATGCAGTTAGTGAAGGTGGAGGCAGAGTTCATTAAACAACTGGGATATGACTTCGTGCTGATAGTCGACACAGAAGGACTGCGTTCTGTAGAGCTGTCAAATGCAACACATAGTCATGACAATCAGCTGGCAACGTTTGTGATTGGGCTGGGAAACATGACCGTGATCAACATTTTTGGAGAGAACCCTTCTGAAATGCAAGACATTCTACAAATTGCTGTGCAGGCGTTTCTGAGAATGAGGCAGGTGAAGTTATCACCGAGCTGTGTGTTTGTCCATCAAAACGTAGGAGATGTGACTGCTCACAATAAGAACATGGAGGGAAGGAGACGCTTTCAGGAAAAACTCGATGAGATGACACGCATGGCTGCAGACCAGGAGCAATGCGCTGTTGCATCATTTGACGCAGTGATCAGGTTTGACGTGAACTCTCAGATCCGTTACTTTGCTCATCTTTGGGAGGGAGACCCTCCGATGGCTCCGCCAAATCCAAGCTACTGCCAAAATATTAAAGACCTTAAAGAAATGTTACTTACAAATGCCAAAAAAGAAAACACAGTAAATGTCTTGAAAATATCAGAATTCAAAGCACGCATTAAGGATCTATGGACGGCTTTGCTCGCAGAAAATTTCGTGTTTAGCTTTAAGAACACAATAGAGATCGCAGCTTATACCAAACTGGAAGAAATGTATGGAAAATGGACTTGGGAACTCAGGAGTCATGTTCTTCAGCAGGAGAACAAACTCTATAACAGCATTGATAACAATACAGATACAATGACACGATTACAGATTGAACGAAGAATTTTGTCAAACTATCAGGATATTAAAAAGAAAATGGAAGAACACTTCAATAGCGCAGATGATGCAGAATTGTTGGTTCAATGGAAAGTTAAATTCGAAAAAGGATTTGAAACCGTGAAAGAAGAGCTAGTATTTGATGCTTACAAAAACTACTCTGCCCTGATGGCTCAAAAAGACAAAAAACGGAATCTTGATCTGCAGAGATCAAGTTATGAAGATCAACTTATTAGAAAGAGCAAGGATTTGGCTTCAAAATTGAGAGGAAATACAGTAAATGACAAAGAATTGAAGAATGATTTTGATAAAATCTGGAAGGAGTGGATTAAAGTGATAAAAGACGGTATGACCAGCCCTCCAACGCTTGATGTAAAAAAAGAAATTAAAAACCTTCTTTACGACGTTTACGAGAATCAAATTCCACACCTAGAAAAAGTGATATTGAACTGTCACAAAGAGGCAGAATTTTCCGTTAATCAAAACGAACACATTATGATGAACACGAAATGGCTTGGATATCGGAATCACCATTTTAAAGATGAGGATACTGAGTCAATTAAAAATTTAATTACTGCCATAAAATACAAAGTCAGGAGCTGCATTACCACCCAGGAGAAACATAGAACGAATTTCAACCCATCCTACATACGTGAAATTTTTGAGGGAATGAATTCAGACATACAGGAATTTTCACAATCCAATAAAAGATTTAAGCTCACAGAGAAGTTCAAAATTTATTTATCTGTCCACATATTAGGAGAGGTTATGGGGCGATTTCAGAGAATGCATGAAAATTTCCAGAGGGAAAACGACCCATTAGTATACTTTACCAGTAAGAAAGAAGAATACTTCAACAGCTTCAAAATTCGCTGCCAAGGAGCAACGTCCACAACTATTTTCGTGGATTTTTTGTGTAACAAACTGAAAGCATCCATTCAACAGGCAGTTTATGATAAAGTTTGCGTTGACATTGCAGGCAGGATGAAGTCCACATTTACGGCATTCAACGGAAATCGATCAAAATTAGAAAACTACATTCTCATAGATTTAGCGAAGAAGAAAGATTTTACAGCATTTGATGAATATATTCACCATCCAAAAGAACACTTTCAGAAATACATTACGGAATGTGTAGAAGAGTATTGCAAGGGAAACGATGATGAAATCATTCACGAGATGTTAAATTCAAATCTTGGGGATACCACAGCTGCAATTACTCGGGCAATCAATAAAGCAACTGAAATGGAACAAGACGAGTATGATGCATCTTCATGGCTGGATACATTTTGCACACACCTTGATGACGTCATCAAGCTCCCAAGACACACTTTGGACCAAAGCGACTGCAGCGAAATAACAGATATTGAATTTTTTAAAGAAGAATTAACAAACGGACTGAAAACCGTGGCTCAAAGATTAAAAGATCAATTTTCTTTAACATGCTTAAATGATTTACAAAACGTTCAGAACGAACCGCACAAAATACTATTTCGGCAGCTATGTGGGTGCTGGGTGCAGTGCCCATCCTGTAAAGCCATCTGCACAAACACGATGTCCAATCATGACGGAGACCACAGTGTTCCCATTCACCGCCCACAGGCAGTGAGTGGAGGATATTGGCATGAAACTGATAACTTTGTCACTGACATCTGCACTAGTTTAGTTGCCAGTAACTGCAGCTTAGTGCTTCCAGACAGGAAAATACCATGGAAGGATTATCGTACAGCCGGGCCAGAATATGCTTGTTGGAGCATAACACCAGACTTAACCACACAGCCATATTGGAAATGGTTTGTCTGCAAGTTCAAGTCAGACTTAGAAAAGCGCTATAACCAAAAATTTTCAGCCCTGGGAAAAGTCCCATCAGATTGGGAATCTATTGAAGAAGATGATGTTATTAAGCATTTAGAGAATCTGTAGGTTGATTAATGAAACTACAATTGAGCACCCTATGTCACAGATTAACTTATGAATATGTGGCTCTGTTTCAAACTGGACAGTCTTTCATTTTAAATATTTTTAATAACAACGAACACAATTCATCATCAAACAGCAACATCTCTAAAATGGCATGACATTTAACGATCGTTACATGCATGCATATGTACATACACTTAACTTGAGGCATTGTGGGTGTTATAATAATCTGATCACACTATGTAACACAATTTTTGTTCCTGTGTAGTAAGTGTTATTTCATAATTGTTTATGGCTCAAAAGTACAGAAAATGGCTATTATTCCCCACAAATATTGACATTGATATTTTGAAATTTACCTATTTTCAATGAGAAAACGGGAAAATGTGTGTATTTTCGTTAACATAAAGTCAGAAAGAAACAACACATGAATCAAAATGTACATGTATGTATACTAAAGTAATAAAAAATTACTACAAAGATTTAGAAGTGAGTAGTTTTCGAGATTTACGATTATACTGCAAATCACTTTCAAGAATCAGCCCCCAAATGTCTCCCATCATGTCTCCCATCATTTTCTTGTTATACTGTCTTTGGTAGCAGCGTTCAATGTACAATATATGCTTGTGAAAGCGCTTGCATTGCTCCTCCGAGAATGCTCCCATGTTCTCCTTCAATTTATCAAGATGAGCATCAAGGATATGCATTTTGAGGGACATCCTACAGCCCATTGTGTTGTGGTTCTTCACCAGAGTTTCAACCAGCTCCACATAGTTTTCGACCTTGTGATTGCACAGGTATCCACGAATCACTGCAGCAAAGCTGTTCCAAGCCGATTGCTCCTTACTTCTTCGGGAATTCATTGCACTCCAGTTTTATTTTTTTAAACAAATTTCATAACATAAAATTCCGAGCAACAATTATCCATCTTACTCTGCAGAGTTTTTTTGCATTGCTCGCAGGTGAAATGAGGTGTGCTGGGTTTGTCTTGATCCCAGACAGGCATGCCAAAATATGCCTTGTAGACCTCACACATCTTAGTAGACGCTTCCACAGAGTACATTTTCGCTCTTGTCTTTATAAATTGGCCGCAGACATAGAAAAATGCGTCTGCCGGACGCTTGCAGCCTCTTGATGCATCTCAGAAAAATGCAGATATGTATCCACGTAGGCAGCTGGAACTAAACTGAACTGGTAGGCTTACAGCCCCTGTATTTATAATATTTATATTACTGGAAAGTTCTAGAATTTTCTAGAAGTTACTCCAAGTTTACTCAGTACTGTATCTATCTGGAATGTTCTGGAAAATAAGTAAATTTCAAAATATCAATGTCCTGGTCAAAAAAGCAAAGTTTTTGGAGAATAATCAATTAGGAAATACCATTTACTGCCCAGGAACAAAAAAAATATTATAGTGTTATCTACCAATTACGTGAATTTTTTAGTGCAAAATTAATATATGCATGTTTTCAAGAAATCCATAAAGAAATATCTACAATCATTTCCAATGTGTTTATTCCTCTATACTCTTGTTTTGTTTAAACGTGCATTTTGTTTGTGATGCACTTCAAATGTAAATACAAAATTAATAATAGAAATGTTAATGAAAGTGGTAAATTACACATCAGCTAACTACGTGCTTAATATTAAATTGTGTTTCTACTTTAACATTTTTTATTGAAATCTAAAATCAATATTGCATATTTTAATGGTAAGTTTGTGCTTCAAGTTCCCACAAATACTCACCAGCCTTGCGCTTTCTTCTTCATGTTGGTGTCTGACCCCTATTTCATGAGGCAGAGCCTTCTCCCATGGGTACTCTCTTCTAGAGCTTTGTGCTTCAAGTTCCCACAAATACTCACCAGCCTTGCGCTTTCTTCTTCATGTTGGTGTCTGACCCCTATTTCATGAGGCAGAGCCTTCTCCCATGGGTACTCTCTTCTAGAGCTTTAATCAGCTGCCCATCCCCTCTAATGAATGCCCAAGACTGGTATTTTGCCTCTCACGATTGTTCCTTTCAGACTTTTATGTTCATCCAAAATTGCTTCAGCATGAGCATAATAATATATTTCCATGGGATAGCATATGGCCATTGGAAGTCAAATGCAAAGCTGAAAAGTTCCAATATTATCAAGTATTCCGTTCTCAGCATGGATATCTGCCAAATATAACATTTAAGTAAATGTTGAAACATCGTTACAGGTAACTTCATATTTTCTGCTTATTTCCTTTTGCAGCAGCAATTCTGTTTTGCTCAATGCCATTTTGCCATTAAAATAATATCACCATAACGCACAATTCATTAGTTTGCTTTCCAAATATACGTTCAGACCCATCAATAACACATATCTGAGTTAATACAACACAATTTCAGCAAGCCTCCGGGTACTGTAAATCCATAATGTGAACAAATGCTTCCAATGACTGGAAAGGCACCACATGGGACACACAAATTAGCTGGGTTTACAAGGCTCATAAAATGTACTAAATTAAACAACATTGTACTGATCAACACCATTCACCCCCACAAACCATCAAGAAGACCAACGTAGCACTCATGTTGTGGTGCATTTCACTACTGTACTGACGATACACGAATGTCAAACCATTTTCAGTCAACTAAGAAGAGTGGATATTTATCTGGGCAGACATTGGAAGTGACGGTGGCTTAATAATGATGACGGTCAAAATCAAACTGAGGAAGAATTTCAGGGAAAAGAGCACGACGGCGAAATATGACTAGGACAAACTCCAGAGCCGACAGATGGCAGAAAATTAAGCAATGATTTGAATAAGGTTTGCACCATGACTAATGTTAGCGCTACATTAAGTTACGAATGATTCCATGTAATATTTCAATAAAGGGCCAAAATATGTTATTAACAAGGCTCGGGAGTTAAAACAGGCCTGGGTGACTAAGGGGGGCAAGTGCCGAAGTGATTATTCATGGAATTTGAAATCCAAGAGACCTGCTGGAGAAGACGAAAGAATGATAAATCAAACACTAAATAGCCCTGTCAAAACTGCCAATGTAAACATACAAAATAAGGTCAAAATCTGTGCAATTCATTCAACTATTTTTTTCTCGACAGAAATAGAAGAAAGCTCTTGAGACTTTTAGGAAACTCATCAAATAGAACCAGTCAAGTAAATCAGCAACATAAGATATATTTAGCAACTTCTTTTCAAAGAGTAACACAAATTTACGCGATCTAACCCAAAACAACTCTATTATGGAAAATATTGGTCGCAAAGGCATACGTGTTAAACTGAGTAACACAAACAGGCAGCCAATATGACTCCCTACAATATCAATGTTGCTGAAATGATGTGCTTCCAAAATGTCGTGTCGCTGATGGGATGTGAAAAAACATTTGTTGAATGTTCATGTTGAGGTTCAGATATTGGAGAGATGTGTATTGTGACCCTATTCATTTAGGAACTTTTATTCGATTAATGATGTTATGATACAAAGACAATTGACAGTAAGGTTGGCAGCATGCTGTGAAATATCTGTCTAAGACCAGAGGAACTTATTAACCACATTTTCTAGGTCACAGTCGAAGTTGAGAGAGGTTGGCCAATGATCAACATCGTGCCTAAGACGTAAATATTAAATGCATACATGTAGATCACAAGAGACTCATGAAGGTGGAATCGGTTGATACATTACTGGCACACCAACAACATTACAAGTTAAATAAACAAAACTCACATTCGTAGTCTTCAACCCTTATGCACTCTTTATCTCTGACCTCTGTTTGTGCTATGAAAAAGTGTCGTTATCACAAATAATCTGTTTTATATAGATACAAATGTGTATTTATGGCAGTGCTATTGCTTTTTTAAGCTGAACGTTCAGTAACTGATGATAATGACGATAACAACATTTTCATACGTGGACATATAATCGCACAGGTTGGTAAATGTGAATAAATAATAACAGTTTTGCATACATTCAATACAATTTCTTCGTTTGATGCATCGAAGTCAATATGATGTATGACTTGAGGAGAGGACTTGTGTATTAGAATGTTTTTAGGTGATATCCAGAGAAGCGTATTAGCAAATATTGTCCACGCTGCCTACTCATCTTCCTTTCCTCCAGATCCATTGTCAGTTACTGCAAAGTCTACATTATTTTTTACACCACTATTTGCATAGCATGAAGATGGTTTAACCAATGAAAAAAACTGCATATTAAGTGGAACATATCATACAAATCAATGGACAAAAGCAAACAACTTTAAAATGTAAATGCTGAGTGGAAACCGAATCAACAAAACGACAAATGCAGAGGTCCTATAAATACCAACGAATATGCTGAGATCAATAAGTAGAACAACACATCCATCATCTGGGCATTGTTTGGAATCCAGGCGGCAGGAAGACCTCACTTTGAAGGGATGAGGAAGGCGATGAAGAAAACGACATAGATGGATTCATAAAAGCAACGAATAAAAGTGGCATCATTGCTGACGAATGCTTCAGAAGGGTAGAGGAGAGGAAAGATCAAGTTCTACAACTGCCAACCGCTTCCAAAGACATCACAAGTAATTGACTTTTCACATAATTATTTAACACGAAGCTTCATATTTTACATTAACAACTTTAAGTTATTTGCGTCTATTGCCAATTTGGTCATTGAAGAAAAGGTGCATGAGCAATTGGGAGTCGTTCTGGAATTTGAGTTGTTATTTTCGATCGCATGCAGCTTTATATATACATAAAGATGATACAATCTGAATACAATACAGGAATATATTGCACATCTTTAAGTCATATTTGCAAAGTGGAGTGTTGGCATCGTGCTTTGCTATCTACCATATGATATTTGTTATCTGTATATCTTATATCTTTGGGGAATAAGAATCTGATTTAAATAATATGGTTGGTATTCTAACAACCAATGAACTAATGATTGTTTGGATGTCGCATTTTTTTTGTTAAGCTATCTGGATTGTGTAATGTTTATAATGCTGAAGAGGTCACAGTTATTTTTATTAATTAATATTTGTGTGTGTTCCGGAGCATGAGCATGATATAGTGGCTGTGCAACTAGATATAAAACATATCAGTTTAAGACAATGTTTTCAAAGTCAGAATTAAATGTTTTATTGGGGTCATAACTCTCGGTTTTAATCAATAAATTTATAAGAATCAAAAGATTCACTTATTTTGTGCTTTAATGAAAGCAGCATTTCAAAGTGGTGAACAAGACAAACACGAAATACAAAACACACCAAGGGATTTTATTTTTTAAATGAGACTATCAAAATAGTGACCATACGGCAATGAATGTGTGCATGGGACGTTGGGTTCTTTTTTGCAAAAAAGGTCCCAAAGAGACTTGTATTCTCCTTGCATTGTTCTTCGAGTTCAATTGCCTTTCTTTTTAAATAATCCACACGGTCAGGTTTAAGAATCCGCATTACTTGTAAGTCTAAATCAAGGATTGTGTATTTATTAGAACATTTCTTCAAAAAGCAAAAAAATGCAGAGAGTAGATTTTACCACTCCCTCCACCAGCCACTAAGGCCCACTGATGGTTGTTGTAAAGAAGCCCGATGGTTCACTAAGGTTTTGCGTAGTTCTTAGCCACTTAAATCAGGTGACTCGGGATGATACTTATCCCTTACCGAGTATTAACGACTCATTGGAGGCATAAGCAGGGTCAATTTGTATTCGTTCATTCATTTCTCAATCCGCTTGTTCTGGTGAGGTTCGTGGCGGCAGCATGTTGAGTAGGGCAGTCCATACTTCCCTTTACCTGGCAATGGGCTCCAGCACTACTATGCACTCCACTACTATACACTACACTACCATGCGCCACTATACACTACACTATACTCTACACTATACACTGCTATACACTACACTACACATTGCTAAACACTACACTTATAGGCACAACAATACACTATTATACACTACTAGACTATACACTACACTATACACTACATTACTATACACTACTAGACACGTATTCTAGCTCGACAGTACCGCCAGCATGTCCGGGGATGCCCCCGGGTTCTTCGCCATGTGGGACGTGCCCGGTGGAATACCAGAGGGAGTCTATCGGAGGGCATCCTAACCATGTGCCCGAACCACCTCAACTGGCTCCTCTCAATTCAGAGGAGCACCAACTTGACTCTAAATCTCTCCCCGATTAGCAAGCTCCTTACCCGATCACGGAGAGTGAACCTGGCAACCCTGCGGAGAAACCTATTACCCAAGGATGATGTTCAGGATCCATCCCTGAGTCTGAGCCAGTTCCGCAACAGACACAAAACAGTGTTGTTTCAGAGAGCCTACTTCAACGTGTGAGCAATGCGCATTCGTGATGGACTGGACTCAAAAGACTGCGCAATATCAAATGTTCTTACTTACTTACTCATGACGATACGTGAGGGTGGGATTGTAGTTCGACCTGTAAACCACGAGCTTTGTTCGATAACTCAGTTCCCACTTCACTACCACAAAATGGTACAATGCCCGCAAAACTGCGAGCGCCGCACCAATCCGCCGGCCGATATCACGCTCGCACTCACCATCACTCGCGAAAGAGCCCCCGAGGTACTTAAACTTCTCCACTAAGGGCAGCTGTTCCCCCCTCACCTGGAGAGACCAAAGCACTGTCTCCCAGGAGTGAACCAAGACCAGGATTTGGAGGTACTGATCCTCATCCCAGCTGCTTTACACTCGACATACAACCATTCAAGTGCATGCTAGAGATCACAGACTGACGGGGCAAAGAGGACAACGTCATCTACAAAAAGAAGCGATGCCACCTCCATGCCCCTGTACTGGATACTCTCCCTTCTCTACGCTTGCGAAACGTGGACCCCCCGAATGGAACATCTTCACCGGTTGGAAACATTTAGGCTGGCCTGCCTACGATCCATCCTGGCTTTAACCAGGCTGGATTGTGTGAGGAGCTCACAAATCCTTGAAAGATGTGGGCAAAGTCCCATCGGTGAGCTCCTCCCGCAGGCAAGGCTGCGTTGGCTGGGTCATGTAGCCCGCATGCCCAGCCACCGCATGCCTAAACAGCTTTTGTTCGGCCGGATCGAGGGGGCTAAACGGGCGCGGCACGGGCTAGAGAAGAGATGGAGTGATGTGGTACAGGAGGACGGGGAGCTGAGTGGACTTGCCGATGACTGGTACCAGCGGTGTCAAGATCGGCCTCTGTGGAGGAGGCTCGTGAAGGACGCTACTGGGCAGTTGGAGGCAGTCGCCCTCCAACAACAACGGAGGGCGGAGGAGCGACGCTCACAACAACGAGCGGAGCGCCTGGGTGGCTAAAGCACAGCAAGTTGGTACAGTAGGGGGCACAGGTGGTGCATCAGCCAGTCATCTCAGGCATCTCGGTCAGTCGACAGGTGGCACCTGGGTCTGCCCCGTGACCTCCTGCCAGCGGGCGTTCGACACTTCACGTGGCCTCAAGGTGCACTTGGCCTGGCACAAGCGTCGTGGTGACGTCACCGCCACTTAGTGGCGAATGGCGGTTGTTGTTGTGAGTGTCTCTGTCTGTCTGTGTGTAGGTGTCTGCAATTGTGGTAAGTATTTTATATTGTTACATGGAAAACTACAATACTCCTAATTGTGAGTTTGACTGCTTCTCTTTCTGTTGAACCTCTGCACATTTCTTAACACTGACCATATGGGCATTTAAAAACAATAGATTTCATGGGACCTCCTTTGCCAGTACCAAAATATGAGAATAGGTTTTCCCCTTAACACAGCTGTGTTAAGATGTTAAAACACCAAACTGAAACCTTTTACAAGGAATCAAGTGTGAATTAATCACAATACTTGTGGTCAGAATGCAAACAAAAAACATACTCTGATAGCATATGTATTATCTAACACCGTTTTGAGACTAGGCTCGAAAGAAAAATGTCTCTGGTGTGGACCAATCAGTTTTAAAGACAACGCATATGCTATCAGAGTACGTCAATCAGTATATGCATATGTTGGCAATTGGGGGTATTTATGTTCATATATTCCTGAACGCTTGGTTTATAATTTTGAAAAAAATCAGTCCTACTTTTATACAATGTTGTTTTTGTTAAGTTTATACAAACAGATGCCACCATGCATACATACGCGTTTTCTATTTTGTCATCATTTGATAAAGTTGTAACGAATGGATGGATGTGCGTGTGCTGTCTCAGAACTCGTAGTTTGTCCCGAATCACGTTCAAATGTTCATGACATTTGCCATGCCTATAATATACATGCCATTGTATTCACAGCTATTTTGTTAAGATTGCGTAAAAAGATTCTGCCCTCCAGTCTTGCCTTTACAATACATTCCTCCTTATAATCAAGCGTCAACATGTTCTACCCTGACCGCTGTGAAAACATTCCAGTTTTTTTTTAATTTTTGCTTGCATTGTGACTTTCATAGAATCTTAAATATGCCAGTGCCTTCCATCAAATGTCTCTCAGAACGTAGTCTTTGCCTGACAGGTGCATTTTATCATGCACTCTTGTACATAAGTAGGCAGATGTTGCTAATTTTTATGTATTTTGTTAGGATATGTGATCATCTGCATTTGTACATTTGATTTAATTTTCATCTTTACATTTTCTCGTAAAACCCTTTTGAGATGTGTGTAAGCATCAAACCACTGATTTTGAAAGTTAAAAAGCGTTTATCTTTACACGTATATCCATTGGGATTTTTAATGTTTGACTTGAGACAAACACTCATTGCAGTTTCCCTGATGTGCATATTCGGCTGTATGAAAGAATATCGTGAATGACTGAACACTTTGGTCAAACCAGCTTCCTTTAATTCATTATCGTTTAAACGTTTCTGTAAACTTGAGCAACCTTTTGCGACCTTTAATTTTGGCAAAGTACGTTTGTGTAAAATATATATGCAAATTATGCATTTTGTTAGCAGAATTGTGCATTCTGAGCTCGGAATGATTTTAAGTGGTGGAGGGAGGGAAGGGTGTCAATCCTAAGCTGAGAAGCAAAGGCATAGTAAGAATAAGGATGCACATCTGATGCTGTGACTGAGTTGAGGTCCTGTAGATATTTGGCGAATTTGTTTAAAAGCGCTTTCAAGGCACTTGTCCATTTCAGATTCTATGAAAGTCGCAATGACGTATGGGCGAATGGATGACACCAGATTATGAGACCGCACGCACACGCACACAATCACATGCATTTCTTTCAGGGGCGATGCCAGGTATTTAAAGATGATTTATGAAGGGGAATTCATGGCAATGGCATTATTGGAATGCTCGAATCTATTTTCACATCACGGTGGTGAGATTTTATCTACCTCGTCTTGTATACAGGAGGTCGTGGATTCGATCCTGACCCTGACGTCTACTATGTTAGGAGTAGTCCCGTTGATTTTTATCCGAGTCCTCCAGTTTCTTCCCTCCACATTTACAAACATGCTCTTTGATTATTTGGCTGCTATACATTTCCACGTGATAAACCACTTCGTTGAGTTATCATCTGTTAACGAGCTAAAAACTCAGTTGTGCTTTCCTGGTAATATAACAATAGTGTTTAGTTCATAAATACGTAGTCTTTAGTTGTGGTTCAAATCCTTCCTTTGATGAGGATGGATTCCAACCAGAATCCAATATTACACACATTCTCCTTAGTTTTTTCGGTAAAGTCACGTAGGTAGAAAAAAATATATCACGACGTTTCGATTGCAACACAAGCAATCGTCTTCAGGTGAAAAAATACAGCAGTAGAACTGCTAAACCAGGAAAAATATAGTGGGAGAGCGACTGCAACAAGAGGTTATGTAGGTTTGAGGTGGGTGCAACCCAAGGGAAAGGAGGTGGGCTAGAGATGGAAAGGAGTCCCGCCGCCGCACACACAACAGCTGTGTTAATGGGAGAGATTAGCATGTCAATGTGTTACGGGGAGAGCGCCATCTAGGGTGCGACAAGGGGTATCTGAATGTCCACCGCTGGGTAACCGGTATCCAATCCATTGCGGGGATTTCATCTAGGCCAGGGGTCTCAAACTCAAATTACCTGGGGCCGCTGGAGGCAGTATCTGGGTGAGGCTGGGCCGCATCAGGTATTCCA